TATAATCTAGCGACTGGTGTGTGAGTGTATGTGTGATAGTATAGCGTGTTTGGAGAGAGCAATGGTTTGGTAGTGAAGTGAATGTGATTCAACTCCCACGGAGTCGTCAGCTTTTATTCCTCTCTGTAAGGGATGCTCTTCTCTCTCTCTCTCTCTCTCTCTCTCTCTCTCTTCTCTTCTCTCTCTCCTCCGGTATTAATAGTAAGTCTGACTCCGAGTTCACGTCTCCATAGAAACCGATTCATCGAGTGCTCAGAGTTAGGGATCAGAGAAGCGAACCGATGCCAGAGTGAGAGGCAAAGAGATTGCGACTCCAGTTATGTATGCGATGCCAGTCTATGCTAACGGATGTTACGCTAGTTTTTTGATTAATTTTCTCCTCAAACCCAGAGCTCTAACTTAATTCCATAGCAAAGACAATACCAATGATTTGTTGTGAGACACACAATGAAGCCCTCGATTGTGATGACACCCATTCAATAGAGTTTTGGACAAAGTTTTTGTGTCACAACTGTTATTATTTAACAAAATGTGTCAACTCTAATGATCTAAGTTTAGCTAATATTCAAGTGTTTATGTCATGACATTGAAAGGCATTGAATTCATTGAATTCGTGAACATTGGGTTATATATCGAAGTAAATGCTATGGAATTCATGGCAAGTATTGAAATGCGATCAATAAATTTGTTGCTCTCTTAATGTCAGCGATTAACCAAATATCGGTTCATTGAGACAACTATTTTGAGCTGACATTTGAGTCCCGAAAAAGCACCACAACATATATGTTCATAGAAATGGCAAAAAGTCATCATTTTGTGCATCAAATCATTTTTTTCATTTCACTTTCATGTTTGGCTTACAATAAAGTGTTTGCTTTTCAATGTGATTCCAATACTAACACAAACTGTGGACAAGAAATATACGGAAATTCTGTTCATAATTCTCAACAAAATGCATCACAACTTTCCAGTAAAAAAGGTATTTCATGTTATTTTATTTATAATATATGACAGACTTTCATATTTTATTGTCTCCAACTGTATTCCACTTCAAAATACACACATTTGCTGAAATTCTGTCATTTATTGGATTTCATCCAAATAGATGTTATGTTTCCATTTACTATGTTTCTAACGATTCATAGGTTTTAGACATTTATATTAAATCAAATGAATGGACAGTCTAGCCACTATATTTTAACATTGCCAATAATATATAAATAATGAATATATTAATATTTCTTATTTACGTTGATAATAACTTATTTTTCTCTCACGTTTTCGCAAATGCCATCGTTTTTAATATTCATTTGTTATGTCTTTCATATAATAAGTAACAGAACTATAAGATTATAATAGATGTATATTTTCTCATTTCATTTCAAATGCATTATAGAATTGATTGCCAACGAGAGCTGCTTTTATAGATGTAATTCATCACAAGTAGAGACATGTGTTTCAAGGGATCAAATTTGTGACATAACTAAAGACTGTGCTCATGGCGATGATGAACACCAATCATGTGGTACGTGTAATATCATTATATCGGTACATGTATTATATAATGGCATTAATTTTAATGAATAATGAAATGAAATTCAGACCAATTGGTGAATGGGAGTTACTGTGCGTTTGGTGCCAATGATTACTGCTTTTGGGTCAACCAGAATGACAACCAGTCGTCCTATTGGGCTACAGAAGCGGATGAAACGAGTAAAGAATGGTATTTAAGTATAAAACCACGAAATATGAAATACTCGTTTGGAAAAAGTACTTCAATAAGAAGTGCTCTCTTCCCACCCTTACATCCATACCATTCCGACGCCGACTCCCAGTATTTTAATACATGTCGTGTAAGCGATTTTAAACTTTTATTTTCCATATTCTCCAAATCAAAGCATTTATTGCCTCAAATCTTGCAATTGTCTGATCCCATCATAATATTCATATACCGTATTTCCCATCAAATTCTATAACACTTTAACTCATTTGTATGAAAGGCACACCTGATTCTTATCTAAAACTCATACTATGTTTACATTAATAAATCATTTAAACCTAACTTTTATAGTCCTTTAAATTTTTCAAAGGGATTACTCTTTGGAGTATAGAATATACTATAATTGCTATCAATCAATTCTTGTGCACTTTGTATACAATGTATAAAATAACACAATCTTGTGTTCAAAGAAGGTTTATACAGTATATGAGAGTCTAACAGCTGAATGTTATTCAATACCTGGATATCATTAACTTGATTGTTAAACCTTAAATGTCCTCAAATAGTGTAATTATTTTGTATACAAATAAAAGGCCAAATAAAACATTCAATTAATTTTTTAGTAAAATTTACTGATTTACACAGTAAAATACTGGAAAACTTTTAGTAAATATATATTGAATACTATGTTAATAAATAAAAATCGTAAATTGTGTCGTTTAATTAGAAAATCAATATTTAGAAAAATACATTAATAATTATTAGGTTATCTCTATTAACAATCACACATTATCATAGAGCATACAATAATTTATCATGAGACTTAAAATACTATACATAGAAAATAATACAGTATTTGAAATGCTTTTCTAAAATATTATTTTAATAAACAAATATCCTAAAATTAATGTTAGAAATAATGCTCACAAAGGGGTTTAATATAATTCATAATTATATCAGTCTCTTATAATTATAACTTTGCACTAAATAGATTAATGCATTTATTTTAATTAAACAATGTCTTATTATGTAATTATTTTCTACGATATTATTTGAATGCAATTTAACATTATTGTTTTCACTAAGAAAAGTGACAAGAAATGGCTTATCTAACACACACTAACAAAACTGTCATTGAATTGACAGCATTTGACTACTCGTGAGACTATCGTGTATTTCACAATTAAGCGACAATTTTGACACAAGAATATGAGTTATGCAATCATATTCTTTATCATTAGACTCCCTGTTATTAGTGTTATATTAGCAAAACTGTTACCACTATTTTGCTCATCTATTTCCACGATTTTTCAAAGCCTTGTTTTTCTGTCATTTAGACATATAATGACTGCCTCGACGGTATAACTGCTTATTGTATGTCAATAACAAAGGACTAATTGAAGTTGTGATCAAAATATATATAAAATAAATTATAATTTATTGCACCTTCTCTTTAATATAAAACACAATTAAAAACACATTTCTGAAAAATATAAATTAAGTTTTGTATGTTAAAATTACAATACATTTGCTTTGTTATGCTTAAACAAATTATTCTTTATAGTATAGTTCATTGTATATTATAGGCGAATACTATTAAATACACATATTGTACACCTAATATCTATACAGTAATACAGTATTGATACTATAATTCCATACGTAAAATGCAGTTATTCTATAGATCTATATAGATATAAAATACCGCAAATTATAATACTTTATTCATTAATATTATACTGTACAGTTCCCATTAAACATTGATTAATATCTAATAACTTACGAGTTAGTATTAAGTTGTTTTTAATTTAGTGACAGCAATAATATTAATATAATATAAATTCATAAAAATGAGATTATAATGATGAGAACTAATATTACTATTATTAATAATAGTAATTTATTAAACAATAAACTACTGAACAGACCTAAAAATTTAACTTTATTAATTGAGTTACCAAGATTCATTCAAGAGAAACAAAGCTATTTATAAAACTTTTTAATTTAAGTTTATTTTAAATACAAGATACTTTACCAAATAAAACCAAAATTTATAGATTATTAAAAAGATACAGGTGACAGACTTAATATTTATAGCAATATTTGTTGTATCAAATGTTTGTCAAACATGTCGAGTGAAAAATCAAATTTTAATTAATTTTGTTTGCATTTTACTTTTAAAATATAGTAAATC